GCCACTGTAGGGAGCTGGACTCTGGGGTGTGAGGGGGCATCTGGGCAGGGAACTGAGTTGTAGAAAATCAGGGATAGCCCTGGGGAGCTGAGAGGTGGACAGCAGTGATACAGGGATCCTTAGAAAGGGAAGGGCCTTTGAGATGGGATGGCTGGGAGCCAGATTAGCCAGAAACAAGGAGAGTGGGTGAGGGGAGAGACAAGAGGCCCAGCGCGGCTGCTGCTGAGGGGGGTGGGGCGGGTTATGTTCTGAGGAGATAGCTGAGGGCAGAGGAATGCCAGGACAAGGCCAGGAGAGGCAGGAGCCAGGGTTGGAGGTATATGGGGTGGCGGGCACCATGCTAGGCACTGGGAATGAAAAGGGAGACTGTAATGGCCCTTGTCCTTGGAGCGCTCCCAGTCTGTTGGGGGGGGCGGGGTTCGTGCAAAGTCTGGGGCACAGGGACAGCGTTGGAGGCTAGCGCCAGGCTGGGAAACACTTCAACAGAGGAGCCTCTGTTTGCTCGTAGGGGCAACAGAGAACCATGGATGCCCCCTGAGCAGCAGGGTGACGTTTGGTAGCTGGAGGTTAGAGAGAGGGGGGAAGGGACCTCAGTTTCCTCAAGTGTAAAATGAGGGAGTTGGGTCCTACGGCCTCTGAGGCTTGTGCCCGCTCTGGCTGGAGGTGGCCCTAGGGCACGGGGACCTGTCATTGAGGGCCAGGGCTCAGGACCAGGAGCGAGGGGAGGACAGGAAGCTGGATCACCAAGGCCTGAGGGTGGCTGGATATCCAAGGAGCTGAGGGTAGACGAGGGTCCCAGGAGCTGAACTGTGGGCACTTTTGTTTTCTCTACAATGGGGGGGAGTGGGGGTAGCATTGTGAATACTATTGTCCCCATTATGCAGATGGGGCCGGCAACCTAAGGGCATGGCTGGTCCAGCCTCTGCACCTTTGGCCAGCTGACCAGATTTGTGCCTTCCTCCCCAGGGGATTGTGTGAAGCAGACTGTTCGCAGCCATGGAGTCCTGGGCCTCTACCGCGGCCTCAGCTCTCTTCTCTATGGCTCCATTCCCAAGGCGGCGGTCAGGTGAGCCTGCGGCTGGGGAACGGGGTGAGGCAGAGGAAGGGGGAGATGCTAAGACTGCTACTCTGTGCATTTTGCCCAGGGTTTTCCCCACCATGGCCCCAGGAGGCAGTAGCACACGTTTAGTAGCCCATTTTGCAGATGTGGGAGCTGAGGCTCAGAGAAGAGGTAGTTTACCTAGCGGTCGCCCAGCCAGAAGGGGCTAGAGCTGAGATCCCAAGCTGAGTCCGTCTTCATTCTGCCAGGATGGGCCTGGGTCCAGGACTAAAGTCGAACACTCAGTCTCATTAGCTGTTTAATGACCCAAGGCACCCACTCGTTTTCTCAGCCTCAGTTTCTTTATCTGGTAAATGGGGGTGCCAGCTTCCTTCCCAGACTAACACGAAGTAAGTTCTTTGTAAACTTTCAGGCCCTGTACAAATGGCAGCTGGCATCATTGGTGGCAGGGGTGGCTTGCTGGGGACGTGGGAGCCCAGTTCTGGCCCCAGGCACTCTAATTCCTAACTCCCCCTACCCCCAGGTTTGGGATGTTCGAATTTCTCAGTAACCACATGCGGGACGCCCAGGGCCGGCTGGACAGTACGCGAGGGCTGCTTTGCGGGCTGGGGGCCGGCGTGGCTGAGGCTGTGGTGGTCGTGTGCCCCATGGAGACCATCAAGGTGGGGCCCACACCCGCCAGGGACCCGAGATTCCACCATTACGGCTTTTCCCCTTGGGCTAAAGCCTTTCCTGGCTCATTTTAGGAGGCAGACCCCCTGGGACTGAGGGAGTCCAAGCAGGAGAAGGAATCCCAGGCCCACACTGTCCTGGAGGGGCTCCTGGTCAGATGGTCAGGGTCCGGGCAGGGCTTCGAACAGAGGCCCCTCCTTACCTCTGGCTTGTCTTTCTCCAGGTCTCTCATCTCTTTCTGTCTGACTCTCTCTCTCTCTCTCTCTCACACACACACACACACACACACCCCCCTCCCTCACAGCTCAGGGTCACCTTGCCTACCCCTGGCTGACCTTTAACCTCTCCCTTTGTCTCATCTGCTACCCCGCCCCCCCCAGGGCAGGGCCTGGTTTGCTCCTCTCTTTCCCTTGGCGCTGCTGAGCATGTGGGGGGAGGGGAGGTGGGTATAAAACCCCTGGCCTCAGTTTGATATCTCCCCAACAGCCCCAACAACGTGTCCCTTTCTCCGTCTTCTGCAGGTGAAATTTATCCATGACCAATGTTCCACCAATCCCAAGTACCGCGGCTTTTTCCACGGTGTGAGGGAGATCGTCCGAGAACAAGGTCAGTGATGGTGACAATTCCAGGGCCAGGTATCATCCGGGCGGCTCTGCTGTGTGCAGTTTGATGGGGACCATGGTAACTTTTTTTTTTCTTTTTGGTGAGACATTTGGGATTAAGTGACTTGCCCAGGGTCACACAGCTAGTAAGTGTTAAGTGTCTGAGGCCGGATTTGAACTCAGGTCCTCCTGACTCCAAGGCCAGAGCTCTCGACCACAGTAACATTTAACAGAGGAAGACCTCACCGGTGAAGAGTACTGCATAGTGTTACTGGGGGAGTGCAGGAGCCGGGGCTCCGACGCCTTTTAAGAGGCTGGGGATCAAGGGTGGGGGTGGGGGGTTGTTAACAGAGAGAATTGGGGCCAGCTTCCTGGAGGCATAGGGCACCTGAGGAAGGTGTGGAGAATGGGCCCTACTGGAGGCTGGCCATTTAGGCTGGAGCCGGGCAGGGGGCAGGCTGTGCCAGGAGTGAGGTCAGTGGGGGCTTCACCTAATACCGAGCCCAAAGCCCAGCTCATGCAGGCCGGAGGGGCTGAAGGGAGAGGAGAGGGATGTCCAGTGAGTGACTTCTGCTTGGGCGTCACAGGTTTGAAGGGCACCTACCAGGGCCTCACTGCCACCGTGCTGAAGCAAGGCTCCAACCAGGCCATCCGCTTCTTTGTCATGACCTCCCTCCGTAACTGGTACCGAGGTAAGGAGCGCACCTCGCCGGCCCCCCC